TCAAAGGTCGCCATCTGGTTCAAAACGCACCGTGTGGCCATCAGAGAGTACTTGGAGGCGAAGAACCCGTCCTGCAAACCGCCGCATGAATGATGGGTAGTCCTAATGTTCGTCGAAGATGTGTCCGCAGCCGCCACCGCTACCTTCAAGCAACTTCAAAAGGATGACACTCTGGTCTCGCGGCAGCGCGAAGCCATCGCCAATCTACGGACTTGCTACAAAGACTATATCAACGCAAACGGCCCATTAGCTTCTGAACAGCGTGAAGACATCGACATCGAGAGAGACGATGTGTCCAGCAACGATTTGTACTCACCTCGTGTCGCAGATATGACCACATTTTTGAAACACATGGGTGATTTTGTATCCAATCGCATGCAACATGCCGGGCAAGCCAGCATGGAAAACCTGTCAAGAAACTTGAGCAAGGGCCTGTTGAATTTATTCGCTGGGCTGGATGAAGTTGTGGCCGAACAAAACTCCCTAAATGGCGTTTCCTTGGACGTGTTGCCATCAGTGCTGCCGCACGAGCTGGTGACACTGAATGGACGTGACTTTACCGCTATTGTACGCGCACAACGTGAACGTCTTGCTGCTCGTTGGGCCTCTAATTCTGTAGAAGCGACAATGGACTACATTGAAACCAAATTCCGTGATCTCAAAAATGCTTACCGCAATGAAGAGCCCTTTCGTAATGCATTGGACGGGTGTACATACCAAACGTCCTTCAGCAAGGCCTGGAAACTCACAAGTGATCGATTCAAGAAGCTGGAGATGTTTTGTGCTGGACTGGCAAGCACTTTACCGGGAACGTCCTCTGTACAACGCGACTTCTCCATTCTAAAATGGGAAAAAGACATCCAGCGGATGAGCTTGACAGACTTTTCCCTGGAAGGCGTGATGCACGCAAGGCAGTTCAAGCTTCTGCAGAAACTTACGTTCTAAGCGGAGACAATGAATACAAACACGGTCCTTTGATACTCAGCTGTCCCAACTGCTTTCACTCTTCGTAGTAGTTTAATTAAGGACCCGTAAATAACCGTATCTAAGGTCGGACCTCGTCCCGTAAATAGCTTATGTACGGTATTTACGGGAGACCCGTAAATAGGCAGGCCTGCTGATACACCTTAACAAAGGTTAAGATGAGATTGTTGAGTTACCTCCGTATATTATTACTTTATTATGTTATGGGAATAATAATACAGGTTAGAGAGGTGATTGAGATTTTTTAACATGAATTAAGGGTGAGATCGTTGAGTTGTCTTTGTATGTTATTACTCTATTTTGTTATGGGAGTAATAATATAGATTAGAGAGTTGACTGATACACCTTAACACGAGTTAATATGAGATTGTTGAGTTACCTCCGTATATTATTACTCTATCCTATTATGGCTACGGCTTAGTTCTAGTTAACTCGCATTTAAAGAAGTCCGTGAGTAAGGATTCCGTCTAGAACTTTCTGCTGAGTAATAATATAGCTTAGAGAGTTTACTGAAACTCCTTAACGCGAATTAAGGGAAAGATTGTTTAGTATAACTCTGGTTAAAAAGTTAACTGTTGTATAGATATATGTAGATATTTATAGCATATAGTGGTTGCCTACCTTGGGTATATATATCTTAAAGGTTGTAAGAAGTTTCTCACTTGAAGCAATAAACTCAGTAAATTTATTAAATTTTAGGAAAATTATTTATTTTCATATATATAGAGATTTGAAAGTTAAGATTAAGTTTGTTAAAATCTGATAAAAAGTCAAATAAAATATTTTTGATTATTTGATAAATTCTTTTATTGAAAATTAAGTATTTTAAATTGTATAGATTACACTGGTTCAGATAATTTATATTTATAAAAATATTTATATTGATATATAATTAATGCAAATTTTTATTTGATATATTTCATTATGGAAACTGTTCGTTTAAATGTTACCAACACTTGTAAGCTAATGTTTACAGAACTTTGACAATTCTATGAACACAAGTCTCAATACTTAATTTATTCACATATTTACAGATTTTTCAATACAAGTGTATTTCCTTCTATGGTAGAGAACAATTTTCTGAAACTGTATCTATATGTACGCACACAAAGTTTTGCAATTTGCAATAAATTACGGAAAATAATTTTTTTTGCTTGGAGATATACAAACCTAGTGTTCACCTTTTGTGGTTTAACATTACAATATTTGTAATTTTTATAGTATTTTTGAATATTTTATGACAGATCTCTAGAAGAACAATGACATGTGCATTGCTCTTTCATTGTATTGATTATTAATGATAAAATTAGTATGATATTATTTTATTTTAACCTGTAGATTGGAATAATTTTAAGTAAAAAAATGTGTTAAACAAGTAATTTCAGGTTGTTATATATGATTACCTTAGGCTTTTGTATTTCATTTTTTCATAAAAAAAATCTACACATATTAAAGCTATTCCGTATTACTACGTCTACAAAACTCAATACAATGAAGGTACACCGAAGCGCTTCACAATGTCTTAATCTATTTATTTATCTATATTTTTGTAACTCAATATGTAAGATGATAGATTAGTATTTTTTTTAAATACTAAAAAAGAATTGAAATATATGTTTATGCTCACAAATAAATTGTATGTACAGATGAAATAATGAACATACATTGATTAGGATTTCATTAGGAATCAAATTTGAATAAATAGTCTTTATATGATTTTATTATACAGTCAAGTCCTATTCTTGTAGATCTCTTGTGAACGAACACACATTGGTGAAAGTTCGCGATTTTCAAGATGAGTATGTTACCATATGTATGAATTATGCGACTCTTGGAGTGTACGAGATTTCTCTCGAATGGAACACAAGCTGGTTATTCAGAACTCAGCTCCACATTTACAAATGATACCGATTACATCATTACAATACTATATGGTTGTTTGGAACGTTAAGAGACATAATAAATCTAGCTTTTGTTGCATTTTAGCAGATCAATTCGGATATTCTGAAAATTCAATACAATCTATTTAATTTATAAGTTTGATCAAATCTTCCATGTGAAATCTTTTATTACTTAATAAGTTCGTGCGTTAAAATCAACTGTTTTGCTATTTGTTGAATCTTCTGATTCTCCATTGATCAAGTTTCTTGTAAAATAAATTCTGCAAACTATACAAGGAAAAACGCAATAAAATGTACAACATTGCTATTGATATACTTCTATATCGTGCTTGGTTTTGTTCACCATTGTGATGTATAGTTACAACGCAGGTAGAGACCCCTATGGACAGGATTCATTCATATCTTCGTATCATCAACTTCGCTCTAGAATTAATTTTCTAAAGTTATCTCAGAGAAATAAATGAAATTACTGTGAATGATGGGAACGTAAGACCTCCTGAGTAGGTTATTGGTAAGCAGTAAGGCTCCCTGCAAATTTATAGGGGGAATTACAGTAGGTGAGGTACAGGGATCTCAACGAGAAAATATTAATGAGACACCTACGTCTAGATAAAAGATTTCAGGTTGGCTCTTTCTCTGACGTGCTGTTATGAAGGTATAATGTGATGAAAACTGAAGGTTCCTTGTTAGTTTCGAACACTGTGACGACAAAGGCATATCTTGCATAACTACGAAAAATCTTGTGAGCGTAATGCGGGTGAGACGTGATCGTTGCTCACTTCATGCTGATCACGATTCGGTTCAAATCCTTAGGGAATTCATGACAGACCAACTCGTCCGCGAGAAATGATGATGACGGTAGTGTGCAGATAGAAATAGATTGGTTTCCCGGGAACTTGATTCGAAAGTCAAACTGACTGGCAAACAGATAAGAGGAGTATGTTTGGGCAGAAGATGCCCGAAAGTGGCAATTAGGAGTGATAGTGGATTCAAAAATTGGTTCGGGTTATCCATGTGAGAGGACATGGGCTAAAGGCAAATGCCTTTAAAACGCTCATGATCTATTTACATCGTGAGCATTATTGCACATGACACTCTCCACTTTGGTTTAGAACATGATTACTATTTCCTTCTCGTCTTCCAGCTTCTCGTAGGCCGAAGTCAACTGACCGAGCAATAGGAGTATGTATGCACAAGATTCTGTCATCCAGAGGTCCCTATTAATGATGCCCATATACGACTTCAGAGATTCCTTGGGTTCAACCCATGTGAATCGACTAAACTTACTTTTATCTCCGGTACAGAAGTTCGTAGTCAAACGTGATGTGATCTGGATACATCGTCGACGCCTCCTAAATCGGAATGCAAGTGACTCGAGCTGAACCAAGTGGTGAAGCATATGTTGAAACAGTGATATTTATGGACGCTGCAGCTTGTTCGAGGTCAGAAGGACCTTGTGGCATGCCACCCTGAGCATCCGAATTTGCCAGTCGAGTTCGGTGTGGGTGATCTGGCTAACCATAGCCGAAGGCTTTCTAAATCCGATGTCCAAAACGAGGTTTGAATGTCCGACTTCTCGAATGTCTCACTTCAAGGGGTATTCAAATCTGTGCTCCTTCGAGGCGCACACTTTTCACAAGCTTCCTTTCATGCCACACTGACATGACAAAGTCAAGTCAAGTCAAGGCTGATGTAATGGTCGAATCCACTTCAGGGCAAATGTGGAGCCGAAATCACGGCGAGATATGATATTCGCTCCACGCAAATCAAGAACTTTTGCCATAGAGGGGTTCAGATGTGGAATCAAAGTCCAGTTCATGGCGACTTGAGGGACTACGTGCGGGCTCACACCCGATACAGCACTTGAGAAAAATACACATGGCAGGGAACATATGCGAGTCCTTTAATAATTGCAGGAAATTGCAGGAATCTGCTGATCTGAAAAGTTAATTTGCAAAAAGAATATGATCATCAGATTGGGGGAAAGGACGGGCTATCTGCAAGGATTCAAACAACCTGCCACCAGATAGGAGACGGAGCATGTATGCATGTGGAAAGGAGGGAAAATATTCAAAAATACTCCTCAGAGTCGCAGACTGTCGATCGGATCCAACAACTTGACATGTGCAAATTGGCCTGAGCTCGCAAACACATTAAAGTGCGTTCCTAGATTGAAGCAAGCTCGGATACAATCACATGGTCAACTTCTATTTTCAAATATGTCTCTATTCTTAGCTATATGTAGCAAGTCAGGTAGGTAAGAGATACGACGTAGGCGCCTTTTTAGATTCAATACTCCTGCGTTACTACGCAGTAGGAGTAGGAGAAGCAGCTAAAGTGTAGCGTAGGACCGAGGGGGCTACCGACGTGGCTATCCACTGGTTCAAAAGGTAGTCACGGAAGGATTTTGAAGAACGAGGACCTCAGAACGAAAAGGACATCTTTCTAGACTGTCCTTCCGAATGGACATTCTAGAGCATCTTGTCGATATCTAAAGGAAATTTTGAGGCTGCGTTGTTCGGAATGACATGTGAATGCCACGTTTCTGCTGGAAAGAGGGAGTATGAGGTCACGCAAAATTCTCACCATCGCCAGGATCGCTATGCTTCCCGGCCTAGCCCAATCAGCACTGTACGTACTTTGTGGTAATGAAAAGGAGTCAATGGTGGGGCCTCAGAGATAAGTGGAAGTCCAGGCCGCCTCGTGTCGGATTGCCGCAGCAAGTCGTACGAAGCTCGCTACAAGAACCATCTGGGAAGCGCGAGTAGTTACTCCACATAGGTAGAAGTAATATGACGTCCAGAGAAGTGTTCGATCGGGTCATCGGACGGTGCACATCTCCCCATTCTGCTTCACCATTTCCTTCCGCTATAGGCCCAGGCTGCGGTAGTAGAACATTCATTCCTTGGGAAGCGCGGGCGGCTGGGCGTTCGCCGCAAGGCCGCTCGCGCCGTCGCAGGTCGGAGGAGCATTTCTCTCGCGACGTCGAGTGGGGCCGACTCTTCTCGAGGCATCACTGCCAGCGTCGTGGCCGTAGAAGCGACCTCGGCGGCCCGGATTGGTGGAAAGCAGATGGGCCCTGTGGCGCTCCGACTGGCGACGACGCCAGATGCTGCGCGAGGATCTCCGAGTTTAGTCACGGATAAGCGCGTGAATAGATTCAAATGCGGCCGTATCCAATAAACTATAGTTGCGGACGAAGGGAAAGGAGGACGGGCCCGACGGGAGTCACGGGGCCAAGCCAGTCCGACAAAAATTTGGAATATAATCTAGGGGAGGGGTAGTGCTAGAGAGATAAGCAGTCCCGGCTGGGTGTCGGGAGAGAGGCGACCGACGAAGACCCACCGGAGGTCGGGGAATGCTCGACGGGACTGGGAAGGCGCGGGGACGAAGCGGCGAAAATGACTGGGGCGAGGCTGGGGACGGCGGGATGCACGCCGGATCTCGGCCCAGCCTCGAAGAAGACCGCGAGAAAGGGCACGCGTGAAGATCGCGTCACGATGCTTTAAAGAGAGGCCGGGTGAAATGGTGAACAGAAGGTCGGCGGGAGCGTCGGACTAGAGGCTGGCGCCGTTTTCTCTCCACTCGGGCCGCCCTTTAAACCAGCGGGTGCCTGTAGCAGCAGTGGCAGAAGAAGAAGAAGCACTGCCGCGAAGCATCAGAGCAGCCAGCAAGCGTGTGTATATGTGCTGTTGCGTATCCAATACGCTCCACCTCGCCCCGCAGCGCTCCGCCTGCATGCCTTCACATCTGCTCGCCTCGCCTCCTCTCGGCTCAGTTCCTGTGGTGGTTACTTGCGCACCCACCTCACGCCCGCCTGGCCGTCGCCAGCCTCCTCTCTGTCTCGCTCGTCCGCCTGGCTTCATTCCTCGCGCTGCGTCCTCCACCCGCATCGGTGCGATCATTGTGCGAGGCTTCCCCTAGAAGATATTCCTCCTCATTCAGTGGAAGGAGCAAGCGGAGCATTGTCTGGCTCATCACTATTACTGTCACTAGGATCCCCTTGCCATCTCACCTCTGACCCTCTCTCTCTTCACAGGCTCTCGCTCGCGCATGCCCGCGCTCCCCCCCCCCCCCCCCCCCCCCCCGCTAATTTGCGTTCTCAGTAGCAGGAGAGTGCGTCTCTAGATTCGTCCTCTCGCTTCCCTGGAGTCTCCCAGTTCGGGCCACGCCAGTCGAACATCCCCGAGTAAGAGTAGCTAGCGGCGTTCGTTGTCGCAACTTCCTGTCAGAGCAGTTCTGTGACAGTGGGAAGGAAAGTGGCGGGATTTCTACAACGCATGTGTGAAAATTGTGTCCCAGGGCCCCGGACAGGACCCAGTCTTCTTCCGGCTCAGGTGTCGTCCGCAGCCCATTTCGCTCCAGTATCGAGTTAGCGTGTGGGTGAAGGTCGCCGGTAGTCGTGTGGACTCGCAGGAGTGTGCAATCTCCGTTCTAGAAGGAGCGCCGTGTTACGAAATTACTCGCTCGAGCTGCGTAGCGTGGTTTAAGCGGTCGAGCTTCTAGCAGCTGTTCTGTGTGCAATAGAGACGCATTATCTTGTCATCTACGACACCCCAAGGAGTCCTGGAAGGTTTTCGAGGTGCTGGAGGTCTGGCAGCGGAGGAAACCGGCGTATGGTGGGTCAAAAAGTCTTGTAGTGCAGAGAGTTGACACAGTTGGAATTGGTTTCTCAAACTCCCGCGCTTTCTGGCCGAGATACATTCTTGGCGTGGACGCCCGAGGTGGTAGTCGCTTGAGCACTCGAACAAATACATCGAGCTGAGTGTGGCCTCGCAGGTGGTTCATGCGCATTTCGCCCTGGTTCTGACTGGGCCGCTCGTTAGCATTACTCCTGGGTTCCAGCCGGGGGAAGGACGTCATTACTGGTAGTGATTGAACTCCTTGTGTTGGGACGAAAATCATATTCTGGGGTCCGGTAGTTCCTCTGGCTCAAGACGCAGGTATGGCTCCCGCGCATGCGGGCTGTCCTTCCATGCTACCCAGCTCCTCCGGTGCTTCAGAGTCACAAGGACGCAACGGAGCTGAGTCGGAGGACATGAGTCAACAGGACACTTGGGGTCTCAGCCATCCAGTTTTGCGGCCCATTCGAGTTGGTCGTACTTCAGCTGCGCAGACCTCGTCGTCTGCAGGTGCGGACTTTCGGGCGGATGACTCTCCGAGTTTACTCCTTTCGGATACCTTCTCGTCTTCAGGCGAGGAGGAGAACTGTGGCAGCGACGGATGCGAGACCCCGAAAGCCAAGAGGCACAGAATACCTGAAACAACTGGTTACCCTCCGGCTCCGAGGAAGCCAAGAGCGACTTCGCGAAGGAGAGTGAAGCCGTCAAGTTTTTTCAGTCCTCCTGATTTCGACTCATTCCTACCGTATCACAGGTCGAATCTTCTTCTACGGTAGTCATTCTCACACAGCGGAGCGCTCCCGAGCCCTTGCGTCCACGTAGTTTCCGGGCATGCGCTTCCTGTTTTGTAACTTTCACTTGTGCATACTGAAGTCCACCTTCTATCCCTGGCTTTTGGCCCCGTTCTACATTTTGTGGAAGAAACAGTCTAATCGTCGTTTCAAAGTACCAAATGCTACCCACCGTCTGCAAACTGGGCCGCCGAAGGTGGTAGAGACTGAACGTGTTCCCTGGAAAGGATCTGTTACGGAAGAAGCGGCAAAGATGAGATAGCGGGAAAAATCCCACAGGAGAGTGCACCATACCGAACTTCATCGATCAACTGAAACCAGCCGTCCTTGTTCATACTGAGGTTAGATATATATTTAGTTCTGCGGGGGACGAGCTGGTACGATTGCAGATTAGTCTCTGGCCATTCCAGAGTATGCTGCCACTCTCCACTAGTCACCAGTCTGTTATAAGCATCATGCTAGTCCCTCCTTTGCGAGTAGGAAACTTTTTATCTTTTAGCTCATCGCACAGTCTCGGGTTCTACCCAGGTGCGAAACCCAGGGGCTTCGTCACTCTGGGTTTGTGTATTACTATGTACGGAATTTTGTTACGAAATTTTCCAGTCTTTTGTGAAGCGAGCTGATTCCATGGAGTGCACTGTCCCATGTTCTTGCAACTGTCTCCTCTCAAGTCGCCTTGAATCATACGGTATTTCTTTTCGCTGTGCTGAGCATGACTTATCGCAAATGACAGTCTGTATGTTGTGTGTTAGCACTTCGTTGTCAACGTCTGATCTTGACCCCTGCTACGGTTTGCAAACCTGACACGGAAGGAAAATTTGAAAAGCACTCCCACGAAGGCGTCTTCTTCGTTGGACGGAACTTCTTCCATGGACAACCTTTCTGTCAATCTATCTGCCTCCGGCTTGAAAGATGATATCAAAACTCGAGCGCTGTCAATCTATCTGCCTTCGGCTTGAAAGATGATATCAAATTCCAGCGCAGTCAAGGGTTCTTGGCATCAGTACTCATCTCTGATATGTCTAGTCCAACATTTTATGGCTTTTATACTACGTGTGATTGCAGAGTGCCACCTAATCTGGTCATGGAGGCAATGTACACTAATTTCTGAGTGCATGCGTGCCGAGGTCGAGCGACTTGTGCACTGTGCCTTCACTCCAAATGTGTTTCCTTGTCGAAGTGAAGATGTCTTGGGATCTTGACAGTAGCTCACTTCTCTAACTGTGTACTCATGTTTAATGCACCAGCCCTGCGTGTTTTACTACTTAGCTACTCGCCATTGCAGCGGGTGGTCCATGCACTCTACTAAAAAATGCGTGGAATGCATGCGTAGATGGGCAAGCGCCGTGGCCATTGCGGGCAATATGAGTGTAAGGTCATAGCAGGCGTTTTGACACAGCGGTTTGCCTCTTCTCTCTTCGATGTCTTCAGCTCATCACGATTGCTGTACAACATTAAAGCTCCAAGGTGGAGGAGACGTTACACGGAGGTACTTCTTCTGAAGTTGCGAAATATCGGACATTGATCGAGAGGAAACTGTCATGGCTTTTATTTCCTAAAAAGGTAGATGCTCGGCTAGAAGCTTGACCAGCAGTGGTTGGGATGTTTAGGGGATGATCACGATTTGAAACTGAGAGTTTAACTTTTCCCTTCCTTTCGGAAACCTCTGGCTAGTCTACCGTAGCCGACAGAGGAACATGTGGGATATACTCGGTAAATTTTTTGACGATGTAACGCAAAAGTATGTGGGACCGTTGTTCTCGTTTACTCAACTGAATCGATTCCAAAAAAATTGCTGTTCTCGTTTATTCAAGTGAATCGATTCCAAAAAATTGCTGTTTTCGTTTATTCAAGTGAATCGATTCCAAAAAATTGCTGTTCTCGTTTATTCAAGTGAATCGATTCCAAAAAATTGCTGTTTTCGTTTACTCAAGTGAGTCGATTCCCAAAAATTGCTGAGCTATCTCATAAGGTGATACATACTTTCGCTACTTTCCGAGAAGTTTTCCTGAAGTGAAAACTCTTTCTCAGACTACATGCCAAGTCAAGACCGATGGATAGAGCAAAAGTTTCTTACCATCTTTCTCGGTATTGACAGCGTCGATACAAGCCCTGGATAACGATATTGACTAGGGTTTCACTCTACTGGTGACTCATTGTTGCTCTCTAGGAGTTTACGGGATTGGGCATGTGCAGCGGCAAAACAAAAACACGAAGCCCTTCGAGGTTCAGTTGGCATGTGGCCTGAACCGTGTGAGAAATGTAATTTACTCTGCTGCTCACCCAGACACTATTATGGTCGACGGTCCGAAATAGTTGAAATGTCGTTGAAAATTGGGCCCTCCAGTTTTGGCCGGTCCTATCAACCGAATCAAGCGAATGAATGATGCAGCTGACTATTGCGGGGAGCAGTTATTATCGCAACGTCTACGACCTCTTGAGCAAGTCATTGACTGGGCAAGCCTGCCGCAGATTCACGCACACTCGCAACTTCATCGCTACATACGGCCTCTCATGTTCGTTTCCGATGTTCACGAGTCCACGCCCTATTTTCCAAACCGCTGCAAATGGATGTGGAGCTAGCGATCTATCGGTTCCCAATTTCGGGCAATAAAACCAGCAGAAACCGCCAGTCCGTAAAAAAATATTTGCAGCTTTTGGTACATGACCGTAGGAGGATATCGAGTCTCATGTTAGATGGGGATCTGCCATAAACATGGAGATTCTCTTCGACTGAAAGAGAATAGAAATTTTAAGCAGTCGTGTGGATAGAAAGTGTTGTGCTTTAATCCCGTCGAAGTGGAATTCCGAACATGCTACACGAAGATACTCTTTCCTTTCGAGTTGCTATTCCCAACATTACCAGAGTAGTGGCCCGACTTTACTTTTTGTACTCATACAGCAATCCTTTCGACACTTCTCCGCCTTGAGAGTACAGAAGTAATTCCCATCGTGTGTGACCACCCCTGCAAAGTAAATAGGTCTTTGATGATCTCGAGCGCAAAGTCTTCGGTCTTGGGTCTCAGTCAAACCGAACCCGACCTTACACCCCTAACCCTATATTTGCATGCTGCTAGACTACCGTGTAGCCTACCTCCTCTCCTTTGAAAGACTTCGTTGTCGAGACTTGACACGATGATGACTCGCGATTGAGAGTGAGGAATGATGATGAAGGATGAATCACCTGCAATAGGCAGAACTATCTGCGTCTCCAGCGCTGTTGACCCTGAATAGAGCTTCGAGGATGCTCCCAATTTTCGAAGATTACCAGGATAATCGAACAATGCTGTGCCAGTATGAACAACGAGTGAGGGAAACTGTAGTGCAGAAAACTTCCGTGAAAATTGAGGGTTTTTCAAGGGACGTGTATCTAAAGAGGTGAATCTCGTCGCTCGTGATGGGAAGAGAGATGAAAGCAATCCTGTAAATCTACAAACCTCGGTGACGTTTCGTTACACGATCGAAATTATGTGAGTCTCGGCAGTGGAACGAATGGAACATGAGTCAATCCTCCTCATTGAAGAAGAGACTGTCTTAGTCATGAGATGCAATCTGGAGAATGAAATGGGGCTAAGTTCCTGTGCTGAAAGATTGCAATTTATGCCAACATCTTGCCGGATTAAGGGTGAGCGTCTAGAAACTAAAGAGCACTGTCGGTGGTAAAAGTTCAAAAGCGACGACTTTTTCCCATGGGATTCACTTTTTTCTAAACTTGGACAAGAAGTCTTACAATCTGAGGGTTCAAAGCGGCATCGGATCCACTCGCATGCATGGTTTGTAGCCTGGAACCTTCCTTCACCTTCTTCACCTAGTTAGGTTTTCTTTACGATTTAAACGCACGAAGAGAAGCAAAGGCTTGTGTGCATGACTGCAGGAATGGGAACTGCAACTACTCTGATTCGTCGCTCAAAGTTCACTCCGCATTTTAAGCAGACACAACGGATTCTCATCGGGCCATATGATCTTCAAGGCGCTGTACGAGAGCGTGGTGAGTAGGACAGAAGCCCCGGGCTGAATGCAGTGTGGCGCCGTGGCAGGCCAGCACCACAAGATCTCGTGAACTGGACGTGGAGAGGTATGGCTTAGCACTTGTCTAGGAGCTCGAGAGGAGAAGACCTGTTGCACTCATTTCGGCATCTCACTCTACCGAAACCTCCGAGCGCAGACAGAAGTGATCTGCCTCACACAGTCTAGATCACGGAGCAAGGAGGTTCAGAATTCCACAGTGATTGCAGCTGTTCACCCGTTTTAATCTGATTGGCGAATTTACTTCCCAAGTTTTCTGTTGCCCCACCGCTGTCTGTAGGCGACTAACCAGCACTGGCGAAGGCTTTTTGACCGGAGGGGCCACTTCAAATTCAAGTTTATCCGTCTGTCTTTTTCCCAGTTACCACTCTGTAATCGACAGAGTCAGTTGGGTGCTGGGGAGCTTACGCTCCGCGAATCAGTCGATCCCCGACATATAAAGTCCAACCAGTGCTCTCCGATTTTGCCGGCTACGTTCACTGCGAGAGAACTCACGTAGGCCTTCAGCAAACCGACGCCGGCCTACTGTTTCCCGGGCCGAGTTTGTCAAGAAAAGTCAAGGATTTCCTCCACTCGCTACGGCAAACAGACAAAACAATGAGAACACCCGCTGTCGTGGTCAGTAACTGTCAGAACTGGCCCTAGGCAAAGTTTCATGGTAATCATAAAATAAATAAATTTGTCTTCCCTCGTTGCTTTGATTTAATTTTTCCACACTGATTATTTCACTCTCTCTTTACGGCTCCGACGAGACTTTGAAAGAAACGAAACGACTGAACCGTTGCTTGGACTGAATTTGGAGGATTTGTGCGGGTTTGAATTTCAATCGGCGTTTCACGTTATTGACGCCACAAGACCCAAACGGATTGTCACCTTCACTCTGAACGCCTGCCCTGGGGCCGGACGTGCAATGGGCAGGGACTAACTACCGGCACGGCAGCAGCCCGTAACACGGGTGGCTCGGCCCGGAACGTCCGCAGCGTTGTTTGTTTTTTATGCTCCGTACAATATGTCGCTTAGTACGTGCGTAAGATCAGATAAGGCGAGAGACCTCTAGAGCACAGTCCCTAGAGACGAAACGGAGAGCCATCGGGAGAAGTTCGAGACCTTTTTCATGTTTTAACTTTCTCATCCGAATCATTTAAAGCCTCGGGCTTTCGAGAACTGTAAGTTTAGATCAGATTAAAATTTTACCGAAGTCAGCACTTGTGCATGGGTAACAAACATGCCTACGGGGGTTCCTCTTGCCGGGAGAGTTTTACAGAGCCTCTACTCTACATGACCTATTGTGCTAGAGTTAGATGCAGTCGATGTAATCCAATTCATATGCATCCGGTTAGCTCTTGATCTAATCCGAGAGCCTCGCAACTTTTACTCACGTGTTTGAGCTCGGTCTTCCATCCACCGTCGAACCTTTTCTTCCAGTCTCTGTACCATGTGGCCTTGACGGTAGATAAATAATTTAAACATGTCTCTGGCCCGAATTTAAATTTCCTCAGCTTTGAAAAGAGGAATTTGAAGCACTCCGGTCAGGTCTGTGGATTCCACGATCAGTGTCACTCTGCCTGCCAATCATGACCTCTGCA